GTTCAGTAACAGCGTGTGCCCCATGTCTGCCAGGGCTGAGCTCATGTTGTAGTTGTCCTGTGACTGCGGGGTCATGGTGGTGGGGTCAGGGGGGTCACGACCAGGGGGTCAAGGTCAGGGAGGTCACGGCCAGGGGGTCCAGGTCAAGGTCAAAGAGGTCACGTGGTCTACTACTCTGTGCCTGTCTCTGTCTGTGGGAACATCTCATAATATGCGGGAGTGGGTGGTTGGCGGGTGTTCTGGGGTGGTTTGTTCCTTACTGCCTATCAGACATCTATGCGGGTGGTTGGCTGGTGCTCTGGTGTGGTTTGCTCCTTACTACCTATCTAACTTCTAACATCCTCATTTCCCCACCTTCTTGTTTCTCTTTTGTAACACCTCTAATCTTCGGCACTTACATACCTATGTATGTTGCAAGTGCCGTGAAACGCGTACTAAAACAGAACTAACGTAGTGTGTCCCTGACTGGATTTTGCAACAGTTGGCAAACCTGTTCACGCCTCTTGTGTACATGTCTTGCTTGTCCAGGGTTCGTACAGGTCTTGGAAAACTGGAAAACTCTTGGAATTTTGTTTTTATTTTCTAAGACATGGAAAACTCTTGGAATTTTGGGAAATTGGCAAAATTCTTGGAAAAGTATTGAAAAAACAAACTTTTAACTTGATCTATTGTAAAAATATTTCTCGAAGTTTAGAAGGCCAAGACTTTACGCTTTCTCAAGTGTAACGTAATGTATTTTTGCTCGCTGTTTTTTTTCTCCGAAATGACACGTTATTTGTCTGGGAAAAAAGAAATCTTGTCTTGAAAACTCTCGAAAAAGTCTTGGTAAAAAAATGTCCTGCTCAGTATGAACTCTCTTTGTCTTTATCGATGGAAATGAATAAATTCACCCATGTTATGTGAGAGGTACAAGTCTTATGTACTGCAATGCATTATTTGTTATTAAATGGAAGACGAATTTCGCTTTATGTTCTGATGTCCAGTCTTTGCACATCAAAGGAAATTAGTAATTCCCTATTCCTATCTCTACTCACTGACAAAAGATCTACTGTGTTTCACACACGAAAAGATGTGTATGTACAACCTTTACCTATTCTGGGTTTTTTTTTCGTGGAAACTATTTTACTACACGAAACCTTTTTAAAATGCTGATTTTTTCGCAGTTTGAATTGCTGCTGTTTCCCGAAAGTCTCTCTTGTACAATGTGTGCCTGCTTTATGCGAGATGCGCCAGTGGGGGGAAACCCTGGATGAAAGTCGGTGGTTAGCGAGGTTCTTTTTGGTGTGGTCTGCTCCTTCTTTTCTTTTCAAACATCTATCGTTCTTATATAAATCTTCCCTCCTTCTTTTCTTTTCAAACATCTATCGTTCTTATATAAATCTTCCCTCCTTCTTTTCTTTGTATGTTTGTCTCTAGTAACACTTCTTGTCCTCAGCACCTATATACCCATTTCAAAATAATTTGTCTTGCAAATGCCGTAAAACTCTTACAAAAACTAAAACCAAACTAAAACGTATCCTCAAATATCTCTGAAACGGGTGAAGCACCGTCACTCATATTTTGCACAGCAGTTTGTATTCATTTGTCTTAACTTAATCATATTTTACCGTAACAACCGAGGCTCGATTTAAAAAAACAACTTTTCTTCATAAATTTATAGTTCTAGAGTCTAGATCTAGATTTCTACATCTAGATCTAGATCTACACACAGTACACCCGTACACCCAATAAGTGACAACACACACCTATATTTCTATGTTCCTGTTGATGCAGACCGAGGATTGACTTCTTCACGGCACAAGTAGCCTTCCTGGTCTGTCTGGTCTATCTGGTCTGTCTGATCTGCGCAATGAGGCGAACTTACTTCTAGATCTATGGACATAAAAAATCTGACAAGTCCCTCTTTAGGAATCTTATGTTTCTGTTTTGTGTGTGTCTGTTCGCGTGGTGGATTCCAAAGACGGACAGAATCTGTCCCCCTTGACCCCCCCCTCCCCTCCACTTCCGTTCACCTCTCGTGCCCTCAGAGACATACCGGGTTTCCCCGCTCAACTAGAGGTGCGACTGGAAGTGTTACTTACTTGGTACTTGGTTGTTACTTATTTGGTTGGAGAATATGTATCACTGTAGGCGGCACAATGCCACAGCTGCTCCCCCCTCCTCTCCAGGATCCATGAAAGGGTCTGCCTGCTGATTGTGCCCGTTATCAGCTGGTTGGATATTCTTCTGGCTTTTC